GGGCTTAGGGGTTTAGGGTTTGCGGTTTAGGCCCCCCCAGTACTTGGCGCATCCGAAAATCCCCACGCACCGGGCGCAGGACGCAATCAGTATTTACTCCCAACGCAAGAGCCCCATAGTGATACCACACTTTGGGCAAAAACCTTTCGAAACCCCAAAATGGACATAGAACCTTATTATAAAACCCTAAAAAGACCCCAGAAACCATATATTGCTTGATTGTAGAACCCCTATATACAACCGCAATGTTCAACCATAAACCTTAAAACTTAACAGAAACGACAAAAAGGTCTAGGTTTGAGGGTTTAGGGTTTAGGGAAAGAAACGATAAACAGTCCGATCAAGACCCCAAAGGGGAACCAGGGTTGAACCCCGCTCAAGCCTCTTCTAGAATCCGTCAACCCTAAACCCTAAACACTAAACCCTAAACCCTAAACCCTAAACCCTAAACCCGACAACTTCTAAAGCCCGAGGTTCCTAATCGGTTGTTAGAACCCTCATGTAAAAGTCCTCAGCCTAAACTCTCGAATCCTAAACTTCACTTGGACAACTTGTAGAGTCTCCGTGTTCAAGATATACACCCCGAGAACCCTAAACCTCACTAGCAAAAAAGTAAAATAACTTATAAACATCCCTTATAGAACTGTTATGCTCATGATATAAGCCCCTAAACCCTAAACCCTAAGCCCTAAACCGTTGCAGTATAAACCCCCATCCCCTTTTGGGGGTTACTGCGCCTTGGCCTTCACGTCTGCCTCCGCGTCGGCACGGTCCTTGGCTTCGGCCTCTGCCCGAGCCTGGCCGAGGGAGGGTGATGCAAACAAGTATCATGCAAGTATGTGTGTATACAGATATAGATATGCATATACATAAACATATAAATCATATATGTATACATATCTATGTATGTATATACAAGTAAATATAAAAAAGATATAGATACACATATGCATATATGTATATACACACCATATATATATATATATATATGGCCTAGGTATGCATGCATACATGTATGTATGTATGTATGTATGTATGTATGTATGTATGTATGTATGTCTGTTTGTCTGCATGTATATTTGTGCTTGTGTTTAAGCGTGTGCGTATATATATATATATATGTATGTATGTGTATTTATATATATATATATATGTTTTGTGTCATGATTGTTCGCAATTGCATGCTAATGACTATAATAGTGCTTATATTACTGAGACTCCTTATCATAAAACAATCAAAACAAATCCTTGCTTCTTGAACCATACCCTAATAACAATGTGTGCTAGCAGGCTCTTCTCAAACCCTATACACTGCATACCCTCTTGGACACCCGCCTATACAACTAAGAGGGCAAAGAAGCCATTGATGCAAGACAAACAACATGCCTAAACCACGAAGCAGCCCGACACCTCGACATGTTGAATCCTGAACCCATAAGCCCTAGCCCCTAAACCCTTTGCAGTTTGGGGGTTTAGGGTTTAGGGGTTTAGGGTTAAGGGTTGAAGGGTTTTGGGTTTTTAACCTTCTAAACACTGCTTTAAAGCCGCCCCCACCCCCCTGCTCCCCCGCTGCTATCTTGCCTCCGTTCACCGCACCCATACATATAGACGCACACAGCCCACACAATCAATACTAGCCTCAAAGCCTCTTCAAAACATCGTAAACACGATCCTCTTAAGTCCAATAATGGATATATAAAGGCCTACCTTAGCAACCCAGAACGTAAAGTAACTCCTTAAAGGAACACCCAAAACCCCCTACA